TCAGAGAGATGATCCTGTTAACATATTGCCAAAAACTGTCAAGGGAAATGAAAAGAGATGTCACATGGTAGATTGACTAGCAAGTGCCAAGAGCAAGGAAATCATAGGATCATCATAATCTGTCTTGTGGAGTTGCTTCTGTAGATTTCATTTTCATTCTCTGGCAAATTTGGGCACACTTGCAGGATGTGCTGTGGTATTTGCGTTAATATGCAAGTGATAAGTCTTCAAAGACGGGATGATTTTATATTGGTTCGATCCCGTGTGACTCAGCTTACCTCTAATGGCAGGCTCTTTGTCAGCTGAAATCGTCACACACAAAGTTATGAAGCCCCAGCGATAACTCCCCCCAAAAAACCCACAATATACACAGTGCAGAGCACAAGGATAAACCATTTTGCTGGGGAAAACTCGAACCACAATCCTGTTCAAAAGATCCTTGTCTGTTGGTTTGTGCCTAGGTGCTTACATGCTCTGTCCTGCTTTATTTCTTTTTGCAAATTAATTATCAGTTCGTTTGAGGAGTGTCTTTCCCATTTAAAGCAAACAGTGCCGCAAGAAAACAAAAATAATGAACATACAATTATGAGTATAATTAATGAATACCAATATAATTAACATAAAAATTTCCATACAACAAATACAGAAATCAATTTCACAATGACAAGAAGCATGCATCATTTAACATATTAAAAAACATGCAAGCACAGTAATTTTAAAATATACAACTGACAAAACACAGGCTTAAAAGTTATATGACCAATTAGTGACACAAAATATCAAATAGTAAATCAAAACTTGTGTTTTCTGTTTTGACAACAGATCAACATCTCGGCACAAGGGTTGTAACCCATAAGTGATCCGTTTTACTTCTAACTCAAGTGTGAGTCTGAAGAATCCCAGTGCCGTGCACAAACTCTGTAACACTGGCGAGGGTCCTAAAATACTTTGGGAACATTTTTAACTCCAAATTTTGCCCTGGCAGAGCCATTAAGCTGCTCTTTTTTATTCCTAACTGTCAAGGGATTTTTTTACGTGCGCACCTTTCTCATTATAACTAAGGTTAAATAAAATGATGTAAAATGTCTATAGTTAAAAATGAAAGCTGTCTGTCAGCACTGGTTATAATCAGTACTGAATAATATAATTGAGACTTAGATTATAGTCATCTGGCTTTAAAGGAAGGGAGCGTAGGCAGACCAAAAAAATAAAAAATAAACTACAATGTCAGACACAGTTCCTAATATTGCAGCCTCTTTAAGTGGGTGACAAACTATTATCTGTTTTGAAAAGACTAATAAGTGTACTATCTGCAAAGGCAAGCCTGCAAACTGGAATGTCATGGTAAAACACACTATATTTTTAGCTGGTCTGGATGTTAACTATGCATAAAAATGTAAGCGTGTATGTGTGTGTACACATATGTGTGTGTGCACAGCATGAAAAAAAAATTATTTGCTGGCCGGAACAAGCGCTGTGAGATGATACTCAGACTGCTCAAATCTTTCACCATCACACATAGGAAGCTACTTCTTTAGTGGTTCCAGGGCGTTATTGCATTGTGCTAGTTTCGGCATAGCTGCATTATTTGTGCCTTCTGGTACACGGGAATCTTCTGCATAAGATCGTTCTAGATGGCATACTGTTTTTATCTTGGCACAGAGACTAGCTAGGCAGCAGAGATTTCACTGGCAAAGGCAAGAGAGAGTGAAAAAAGCTGTGCAGCAAACCCCTCCACTAGTGTCTACTTCAGACATTGCTCGAGAACTTTCCGCCCCATCAATCATATATATATATATATATATATACTCATGACAACAGGAACTCCTCAACGATAGATCTTCATTTCCTCTTATGTCTTATAGTGTTTAAACTTGCAAGACAGAATACGAGGGGCAAAGACCTCGTACAGTGATCACTAAAGAAGAAGAATGTATGCAGACACACACATCTATGAATCCATGAATGAAAAACATATACTGCTCCCATTATAGCTGCCCTTCAGAAACAGAAAAATAACTTTGCTTCAGACACCAGCAGTCCACATCAAGCCCTTAAAAAAATAATATAAAACTGGCATATGGAAAATGATTTGTTTAAAAAGTATTTTCTGTCTCTATAATAAATGTTGGCACCCCATTGTAGTCCTTGGAAGTCTTATGCGGTGTGACCCCAATCTCTTCCACAGTGGGACTCTCGTACAACTGTCCAAAAAGCACTACAGCGCATTTTTTTAAACCACCCATCGCTGCAATTGAACCCTAGTACTCGAGGATGATGAAATTGTTAAAACACATTTACTAAACTCTAAGCCACAAACCAACACTCAAGACAGCGGCATATTGTTCCTATAAAGTAACTGGAAGTGTAACAAATGGCTAGCTACAAGAATCAGCAGATCTGTTAATGCCAGTACATGAGTGTACTGACTAAATCTGACTATGAAGTACAGAGTAATCAATTGTCTATATATGTCCTAAAATTCAATGAATGAATATGTTAAGAATTGAACATTTATTCATATTTTTCCCACCCAGGCCAAACTCCTGACATGAAAGGATGAACTGCTGACATTTTTTTGGGAACAGTAACACTACCAATGCCAAACCTGGTCCCTAACAAGATTACAGGAGAAAAAGATCACGACGTGCGAAATGAGATGCTTACGTAAGGCTGCCAATGTCACAAGGAGAGACAGAGTTCGAAACGAGAACATTAGAAGAGCAATTGTAGGAACCACACCATGCCTGCAATACATAAAGAAGCAACAAATAGAGTGGTTTGGCCACTTGATGCGAATGCAAACCGACCAACTGCCTCTACGACCATACAACGAACAGCACTACTGCCCTAGAGCAAGAGGCAGACCGAGAGTACGATGGATAGACAATATATCAGAGATCCTGAGGCAACACGGACTAACAACAACACGTGCAACACACCTGGCCCAGGATAGAAAACTGCGACTCCCCACTACGCTGTGAGGCAATTGTTGACAAGACAAGACAGTAACACTGCTATGAAATACAATTATCTTTTCCCTTTGGTGGTCCGCAAAACAAATGTATGGGGTCTGTGATATCGTTTACAACAAAAAAAAAAAACAATGCAACTTAATATTTATGAATTATAATAAGATCTTCGGTATGACTAATTGGTCGTAGCTCATCTGTTTAAAAAAAATGATGGCATGAGGAAGCTAAGTGGGCACCATTATCTCCTAAACTGATAGCTCTTTCAGCACCATGCACCTGAGTTACCTGACATATTATGCTTTTCAGAAGGGGGCTATACCCATCCCTAGCTTGAAACCATTTTATGTCAGTTGTTACTTCAGTTTTCCTTTGGCTCCTCAGACTTTTCAACAATAACTGCTCAGGAAGTTTTTGCATGATACTGGGCAACTGTTCTTTCTGTTAGATGTCTGAGTAAAAGACACCCTCTTTACATATAAACACACTGAGCAAATAGCACTAGAACCATACTTTACAGACCAGTCAACATTGAATGGCTAATGTGGTCAGCATCACGCTAGCCACCTTTACTTCCCATGAGATTTCCTAGCCCTCATCTTAGGCCAGGCTGATGTGGAAGCCAAGGCTTTATTCTACAAAATCCACCAGATGTTGATCTAAACTCAGCGCCTTCAGATAAGCAGACAAGTGTCTAGCCAATGAGTCACATCTCTAGTGAAACTCTAATAACACATGCAGCGTCACTACCCCAGTTTTTGCTTGCTTCTCTCTCTCTCATTACATTCTCAAGAGGTATTTGAAGAATACTCTCAACATTCTTTTTAAAATAAAAATATCAATTTCACTGGGACCAATTTTTTTAAAAACTATTTTTCTACAGTAGAATTAAATCAAAACCATCCTCATATACTAAATTTTTTCCAACACCGTCTCTAATTAATAGAGAAGGCTGTGATTTTTTCCATGTATAGGATGACATTTTTTTTTTTTAACTCATCATTAAGAAACAAATGTCTCAACCACACTGCAGGTACAAGAAGACCCCCTAAGTATTTGTGTCATTAACTGCAAATCATTTCTGATAAGGTGTTCCAACAAGCTATAACACTTTATCTCTTGGTCTACCCCACCAACTCTTTTGCTGTCACCATGTACTTCAGTTTTTCCTTATCGTGATGAGGGTAACTGGTTCTCGTGTGAGTTAATTTCTTCCAAGACATCATTTATCTTTTGGTAAGTCCATCTAATTCTCATAACTTCAGTTTTGTCTTATTGTGATGTGGATTGATGAAGGTAACTAGTTCTCGTGTGAGTTAATTTCTTCCAAGACATCTTTCTTTTTGTACATCCATCTAATTCTCATTTAAATTCATATCTCTGCAACTTTCACATTCACTGACCATGATTCATTCTTTTACATAACTATAAAAACTAATACAGCGGCAATCCTGACTGTTAAAAACGTACTAAAAACAATCACGTATAAAATTCTGTATATCGACTATTCACATTTTGCTCATATGCATCAGCGTTCTCCTCTTTCACTCTGGCACGTGAGATCTCTCCACTAATGGAATTTGATTAAAAGAATCTAACAAAGGTATCACAAAACTGAGCCTAATAATGGCTATCAAATGTTTGACAGTGTCTATTCTTTCTTGCCTATTTCCACAGACAAGTCTCCCCCATTCCTTCAGTCTCACCTACATATTCAATGAAACATGTGGGAAATCTCTGAACTAATGGAACCAGATTCTAGAAATTAAACACAGGCACCAAAAGGGTGGATACCTTAGGATACCAAAGGCTTGATTAAGCTAATTCTTACTTGCTTTTTAACTTCCTATAATGTCAATGTCCCCATACATCTAATGACACAGAGTTCTGTTTTGGTCAAATACCTGAACAAGCAAGTCACTGTGATATTGCCTCTGTGTCTTCAAGTCTCATTTGTTTATCCTTAACTTGTGCCAACGTCACCGACTCCAGAATAAACAAAATAACACCTATTTTTGCAATCCCATTTCAGTTTCTGAGATCACTTTCAGCTTCAGTTTTGTCATTTGACATGTTTTCTGTAACATCAAATCCTTGGCTGTCGTCAGGTGATGAAAGCTGAGGTGGCAGTGATGTTCCACTGTCACTAGTAACAACTGAAGAGCCCTCCGCAGCCTCTGCACGACATGCTACTGTAGTTGGAGGTTCAATGAGTTCAGTGTTCTGATCCTCAGTTGTAGCATTTGGTGTTCCGACAGTGGAGTCTGACAGAGTGTCTGATTTTATGGAAGTGTCACCTGATGATGAAGCTACTGCTTCTGATGATGTTGATTCCTGAATGCTGTAAGACGCACTGACAGAAGATAGTCCCTCCTCCGACAGTTTGTGATGCTTAGTATCAGTATCTTTACAATCCAACGAGGAGTCAACTGAAGACAATGTTGGGGGTTCAGAATTTTGTTCGAGGCTACAAGCTAACAGAGGCAGTGCAGACACCGAAGAGAATGGAGCTTGCAAGACAGATGAATCTACAGAGTCCACAAGTCTTTCTAGACCTGCCACGCTGTCCTGTGTTTCTGCCCTGACCAAAGTCGTGCTGCTGGGAAGTAAATCAGTGGTCAAGGAGGTGGCCACCTCAGTAAGACTGCTAGCAGTAGATGGTAAAGGTTCGTGACTCTTTAAGTCAGCAGCACAAGAAGATGAATCAGTTGATGAAGGCATTTCATCAGTACCTGTAGAACTGTCTGAAGCTGCCGTGCTGCAAGAATCGCCATTATCCGACTCATGAAAATCTGAGCCAGTTGGTAAAGCTGCCACATTGTCTGTGACAGCTGAAGTATCGGAACTTTTAGCTGAAGACTCCTGGTCATGCAAACTGCAAGAAGCTGACTCTGAACTAGATTCTGCAAGGGTATCAACCAGATCATTTGTCTCTAAACATCCTTCTTGAGGTGAGCTTGCTTCAGAAGATGAAGTGAGCTCCGCCTGTTCACTGGGTGACTGCTGTACATCATGTGATGACACTGAGGAATCACTAGAATACTGGTTGCAATCAGAAGAGGAGGTATCCATACTGTTGTCTGTTTCACTGCTGTCTGAAGTCCATGTCGATGCTTGTGCACATGAGGTCATTGCAGAATTGGTTTCTGTCTGTGCGGCTGAACTCTCACCTAGAGATGATTGGCATATTTATTAAAGGATAAATGTGTGAACTCCAAACAAAACAAACAAAAAACTCTCAACAAAACACTTTAAAATGACCTCAACATGAATATTACAGCTATTAAATATAGCCACTCCAATGACAGTCAGCTTTGAAAGCACTTAACATTCACTGCAGCAGGCATCACCCATCTTCATTCATCTCTCTGACTATCCTTCTCTTTCCAGTTGTTGACTTCAGGTGTTTTTAGGTCTGCCTGCATACTACTGTGAACATGTACATGCTGTAGGCACTGTTCTGCTAAACAGAAAAGTGAGCTATGTACATGTTTACAGCTAAAATGTAAAGTTTTTAGAGACAATCTCATTTTACAGATGTAGAGACAAGCTGCTTTCATTACCAGACGACCATGAAGATTGAAACAGCTCCATGTCAAACATCAGCTAATGAATGAAATACATTTTTTTTTTAATCAAACACCAACCTGTATCAGATACTTCAGGGGAAGAAGAGGATGAGGAAGCACTTGTGTCATCTCCTTGCATTTCCTCTTCATTGTCTTCAACCTCTGCCATAGCCTCGCCCCCATCCGTTGCCACCGTGCCGGTCTCACTTGTGTCCATGGTAACCTAGATGGATATGGATTGTAATGAACCATTTAATAAATTGGGCAAGCCACAGTTAGTATATCAAGTGCTGAATGCTGCACAGATTTGAGTTGCTAAGCTGATGCATTACCATCCTTTTGGCACACCTGGATATTCTTTCTTTTCTCAACAGTTAGCCTCCTTTTGATAGTTTCTCCAGGGAATGCAATGTGTGCTGGGAAACAAACAGGCAGACTGACTGGTTCTGCCCATTTGGTGGTAAATTGTTTCATGACAAGCTAGATGTTGTAGGTGAGTGAACAGTGAGGCACAAACAGATACTTTCGGTCTTAAGGAAAAAAAAATTATAGCTCAACGTAATGCCAAGGATTAACAGATGTGAATATCCTTCACTTTAGATCCTTATAGCTGGACTTAATGCCATGGAGATGGATTACCAGATTTGAATACCTATGACTTCACATTCTCTTTAAAGCAGCCCATCATCCCAACTTAATGCCATGGATTAATAGATGCAAATACCTATTACTTTATATCCTTATAGCTCAACTTAATGTCATGGATTAACAGATGCAAATACCTATTACTTTATATCCTTATAGCTCAAATTAATGCCTTGGATTAACAGATGTGAATAACTGACTTTACATCCTCCTCATAGCAGCTGGGTGCCCCAACTTAATGTTATGGCTCAACAGGTGCAAACACCTATAACTTCACATCCTTAAAGCATCATCTGGAAATAACTGTGTAACGTAGTCTTTATGTTTGTTCCGGGGCACGCAGGCGTTGATGGAAACAAAAGAGATGATAAGTTGGCTGAATCCGCTATCACTGCTGAAGGCCAACCCATAGATCATGCTGCTATTATTAATGCCCTCTGAGAAGTGGGAAGGGTGGAGGACTTTCGAGACAGTGATTCCACATGGCTCACCAGAATGAAAGACTCAGGAGTCAAGATCAGCATAGCCACAAGCGAGAGACACCGAGAGAATACAAAGACTTATCAAGCAGCAAAGAACTGGCACAATTAGTCACAGGATGCTAGAATTCATACTGAAGGAAGGATCTGAGCATCTATGGCCAGACCTGTGTGTCACCAGGGCCCTCACTGGGAAGCAAAAAAAAAGTGACACTGCACCCTACCAAGCATGTCATAAGAGGCGACTAAGGGTAGGTGTGTTGGACTTGAGGTTGGCTACCTCATCCTGTAAAACCAATAGCCACAAAAACCAACCATGGATAAGTCAGAAAAAGAAGCAAGTAAAACCCAGCCAACCAAAATGATGGGAGGCTCTTCAAGTTGAAGAAGTAAAAACATGTGGATAAGAGAGCTGGAGAATAAAGTTAGAAAGATGGGAATGACATGTGGAGGGCGAAGGATAGAACGACTTGGTGTGAGTTGGTTGAGGGCCTATGCTCCATTGGGAGATAGAAAGGCAGAAGAAGAAGACCTATGGAGATTTCCAGAGTGCAATTATCATATCCCAACTAACTGTTACTCAAATTGTATGTATGAATACTTACCACTGTCTCCTCTACAACAACCTCTGAGTGTACAGCTGCTTCCTTCTGGTCTGCATCAAGAGAACTAAAACCGTTGCCAGAATCTCCCCTGCTGGCAGGAAGTGAGGAGGTTGGGGATTTCTGCAAAGAACAAACATAATCTCACCACGATGAAAAACAAGTTTAAAGCTATATTACAGTTTATTCTTCTTAATTTCTGAAAATCTGCTTTACCCAGCAGTTTAACAGAAGGTAGCCAAACTATGCCATGTTCAGCTGGCTGCTAGGCTGTGATGCCTTAGGTCAGGGCTATTCAACTGGCCGTCCGAGGGCCAAATCTGGCCCGCAGTGACATAGCAAGTGGCCAGTGGATCACTGCCATTGTTTTAATGACCTTTCTATTCTAGGGCTCGATCCTCTGGCCTGTGACCATCCTCAATTTGAAAATATTGGCTCCTGAGCAGCCTTAGTTGAACAGTCCTGCCTGTGGTTGTCAATAGCTCCTTAATTAAGTCCATCTTTTTCTGGGTACTTCTTTGTATCATGGTATTGTCATTTTCATACTCAATGCTCTCGATGACCAGCAGGTGGCTGTACCGTTCCTGTGTTTCTCAATGAAATTAACGATGAGCATTACATCACACTCCTTGATTCTATTGACCTGATGTTTTCATACTTGAGGTTCATCCAGATTTATGAATCTTGCTCTTGGTCTTTCTAGCATTTATACCCATCTGATCCCTGTGTGGGTTGGCAGCATTGCTGCTGTCCAACATCACTTGCCAGCAGGGGAGTGTGATAGTTAAAGTGCTACTGTAGCTCTTTGTAACAGAAAATGACAATAAAATCAATCACCTTTGGCAATATGTTTCATAACATTGTTAGACTATTTAGCACTATGGCATGGAAAAAACATCTGTACCAGAAATGACTGGCATGACATGCGATAGGAGACACAATTACCAATGGTAAAGGCTTAAATTGTAAGTATTCTTTACATTAGGTGAATCTCCTGGTGAGATGGTTTGGCCACCTGATGTGGATGCCCTGGTACCAACTGTCACAGAGAGCCATGATCAATCAATACACAGGGGGAAAAAAGAAACAATCCAAGAACAGCATTCAAGAACATTAAGAGAATGAAGACCAACTTATACAATGCATTTCCAGTCAAAATGGATGCTAGGCACAGCCACCGTTTGGCCGTGGCAAATTTTGTTGCTTCTGCCAGACAGTGGCTGTTGCATCTGTGCTCCATTTGTAGACTGAAAGGATAAAGTTTTGTCGCCCAGCTTCTGAGTTAAGTGCATGTGTAACACAGTGAGCTGCAGATTTCATCTGGAATGTTTTTCAACTGTGACCAACATGGTTGTGTGAATTGTAGATTCAGAAAATGGCGCGATGCCTGTTGTCGCAATATTGTGATGCCATTATGTAATTAAAATTGATCACGTGTACAACTGCTGATGACTTCTGCTACCATCCATGAAGAACTGCATTTCTAATGTCAGACTGTTTGTGTTAGCACTTCCAATGGCTACCGTATGCTGGGACAGCAGTCTGTCAATCTTTCCACAAGGGACTGTGATAAACATTCTGTGCTTTTCGTTGGCACAGGAGCGGAGCAACTATAGGGTGACTCGTTTGCTATGAAGCTGAAACTAAGATTACCAGATACAATAAGAGCTTTTCTCATGGGTTTCAGGCCCGCAAGAAAAGACCCACTGCCTCCCTAGTTGACTGGGTGGGAGTTCCCTTCAAAGCGGGGGTACATCTGCCTAGGAGGCAAGGAACAAACAGTCTGCATACAAATAAGCTAAATCTAAGATCTGTAAAATGGGTGTGCACGCTACACTCAGGTTCTGGAACAAGACTAAAGTCCAAAAGTGAACGAACAACCAGAACTTTCCACGGAGTATACAGTCAGTGAACGCAAAATATTAAAGAGCACAACAGCGATTCTTACATCTCGTCCTAACAACCTTATAAGAGAAAAATCTTCTGGAGTAGGAAAGGTTTAGGAACATGTCACTGTATACATATACCAAATTATCTTAGAATTATCACCTGTTCTGGTGGCTTCTGTGCTGAGGTTTCTGTTGCTGGAGTATTTTGTGGACGAGGTGATGACGTAGTAACCCAGCCTGGAACAGGCGGCAAGTTGGAAGTTATGTTTGAATCTCGTGGAAAGAAAGGAGATCCGTTGCTGTCTATACCATTAACAAGATGCTTGATTCCAGATTCTGATACCACTTTCCTGTTCAACAATATATTTCACATTTAAATTAAAATATTAAGAAAAATAGACACACAGTCACCATCACCCTATTGTCTGTTATATGTCACATAGTTTATTCTTACATTCAGTTATATCATATGCAACTATTTCAACATCATGAATAGAATACAGTCCAGCACTTCTCTCAATGGACGCATAACAGAGACAAAACATAAATGCAGGTAACAGTTGCACTGTCAACATTCAGCTGCCGCACTGTCAACATTCAGCTGCCGCACAGCCAACATTCAGCTGCCGCACAGCCAACATTCACCTGCCGCACAGCCAACATTCACCCGACGCACTGTCAACATTCACCTGCTACACAGCTCACATTCACCTTCTACACTGCCATTATTCACCTGCTGCACTACTAATATGTATCATCTACAAGTTACATACCTCCCGAAAGGATCCACCGTACTAACAACCAACACATTCTGGAAAAAGTGACATAATTTAGATTTTAAAAAATACAGTAACAAATTATTTCTAATGCATCTTTGATAAATACTGGAAAAAAAAAAGTTGAAATCCATCTAACCTTTCATGGAAATGATGATTTGAATGTTTTTTTGACCAGCTCAAAACAGCAGTCAAACTTTTCAAGGGTTTTCAGATTTCAAACCACCGTAATTCATACGCCACCAGAGTCGACTGACGCAAAATCTAATTGTATTTACCAATTTAAATGCACATGCAGTGCTTCATATGTTGGTATAATGGATCTACGACTAGAGAAACAGGTTGCTGAACATATTCTAGGATGGGTGGTAAAAGCAATGCAGACCACTCAACAACAACGAATCAGGGGACTGGTCTAAAAAATTCATCAGCAACTGTGTACTATCTTCTAAATTCTAGACATAGGGTAAACAAGGATGAGGCATTTCCAATTCTTTACACTTCGGCCAACCATATATTACTGAGATATGCGGAAGCATCAGCTATCAGCCGGTTTAGTCCAGAACTATGCAGACAAAAGGAAATGCCCGCTACCTTACGGTTACCCTGGAGAAACATAAGTGTTTGAATATAGTTGATTGTGTATTTTAGCTTAAAGGATTCATTTATTTGCTTCATTTTAATCAATTGTTTCTGTAGTATTCATCTGACGAGATACAGCGAAATATGCCAGGCAATAAATTGTGCAATCTACTGTTTGTGACTTCTTTGTTCAAAATAATTTTTAAAATCATCATAATAAACTACGCCTACCATGGGGAGGAACAAATTGCGATCCAGTGTACGCAGACTGCATTGGCTATTGTCATGCAGTGAAGGCGTAGTAAAGTATCTTAATGTTGTTGATCCATTTTTGCCATGGCTGTCCTTTTGAACTTGCAGTGGTTCTTCTGAGATGTAGCCCTGTGGTAGTATTCAATGTTGCTGCATTCTAATGAGATGGCCAAACCACCTTATCCACTGTTTCTTGATGATTCTAGTACAAGGTGTTGTTCCCACAACCTGTCTGACAATATCATTATTCAACTGATCATGGATTGTTAGGTTGGCAGCCTTTTCTTTATTCACCAATCTGTTTGTTTTAGGCATGACTGTTGTGCGCCTATTCACAGCAGGTCAGCTTTTCCAGATTTGCACATACTAATCTTTCCAGAAGCATATTAAAAACATAATATTTCTGTCAAATATCTCTCTTAGCTGGACCTACCAATAACTTCACATTACATATTCCTATGTAAGTTGTTAAATCTAAAAACTGTGTATTCACCTAGTTTCGTTCATGGGTAGACTTTAGAATGTTCGCTTAATTAACTTTAATGCTTTCCAGAAAAGATAAGATCAGGATTGGGGATATGAGAGAGCTGCATACAACAAATTCTAAATTACTACAAACACAGCAAATCAAATGGTCTGCCCACTTAAGAGAGAATGCCTTGTGACGCTATACCATACAAGGCATAAGTAGATGGACGAAGATCACCAGGTAGACCAAGAACAAGACAGAAAGATAACACATCACAGAAATTGTACAAACAGCATGGTGTGTCTAAGGTCGAGGCGGTCATAAGAGTAGAACCTTATATCTACATCGACACCCGAATGAGAAGAAACAAACTGAATCAGAAGAATGATTTCCACTACTAGTACTTTCGAAGCCAATGTATCTGTCCGTTTATTACCCAGTACAATCTTGCAATAACTGACTCTCTCACACTGTGAAGTGTGTATGTATCAGTGTTGTCACTTTGGATGTTTTGCATCCAGATTTAGATGTTTTCCCTTGCATTTAAATGTTTTTAGATATTTTTTGACTCTGTTTTGGATGTTTTTTTGTCAAAGAAAAGTGGCAACACTGGTACGTATGTGTCTCAAAGCTGAGCCTGACTGTACCAGGAGTAAAAGGTAGCCCTACAGAAGTTACTGTTGTTAGGGTGTCAAGTGTTAAGACTTCATTATTCACCATCATCAGCTATCTCTGGTCATGCGTGTGAGCCATAAACTGGGTTGTCATATCAAAGCCTCTTAGGTGCCCCCAAAGCTTAGTTTTCAGGTCTTCTGTGCGTGGCCACATATTGATTCCCAGCTCAGCCAGGAGAGGACAGTCTTGCAAAACATGTTTTGGAGTTTGTTCAGCACGAGGATGCTGGCAGAAAGCTGTTTAGCTTAGCTCAGGCATTTTTCTTCTTCTTTGCGTTCACCAGCTATAAACTCTAGCGGAAAGTTCTGGCTGTTTATCCACTTCGGGACTGCAGTCCTGTTCCAGAATTTAAGTGTTCTGTGTGCATCCGTTTGACAGATCTGACTAATTTGTATGCAGACTGTTGGTTCCTTGTCTCTCAGGCAGATGTACTCCGACTTTAAAGAAAGCTCCTAATGAATTGACTCTTACGACATGCTTGTTGGTAGGCAGTGGGTCTATTCTTGTTTTCTTTATAATAGGGCCCTGGAACCCACACTTTATATAAGTGTTTGTTGAGTGCATAAATGCTTCATTATTCTATGCTACAACACATAAAAATAGGGTGGTCAGTTCTGTCCCTTGTGTTTTCTGGAGTAGATATTAAACACCATTTTTTACCACCCATTTTCAGCAGGTAGAGCCAACCCTAAGGAAGTACTCATTGACAAAAAAATTATATTGTCTCTGCTGAGAATTAAACCCAGATCACCGACTTGGCAGGCAAGCACAAATACTAATCAAGACTAAAGGTAGAGAATTAGTCTACTATTGTTATAAGAAATTCCCCAGATGGGTTTTCATTTTAGAAAACACCGAAAAGATACTCCCCCCCCCCCAACAAGCATGCTGTAGGAGGCAATTAGGTATGTTTTATTCAAAGTCGGGGTGCATCTTTCTGAAAGTCAAGTAATCAACAGTCTGCATACAAATAAGTCAGATCCATAATACAGATGTGCAAGCAACATTCACGTTCTGGAGCAAGACCAAAGTAAAGGTGTGGTCAAACAACCAGTTCTCTCTCCTAGAGAGTGAAGCTTGTAAATGCTAATAAGAAGAGAAAACTATATAAAACAAACCTTCTCTAGGCCCCTCAAGAACTTGTCACTGCGTCTGTAGTGTCGTTTAGGGTCAACTAGGAGCTCACATAATCTCTGGATTGTAAAAGGAGCTCTGGAAAGGGAAACAATTCACTGTGACATTCAAACTACATATATATGTATCTTGCAAGTCCTTCAAAAGGAAATAGATGGTAATATACTTGAAAAGTTTTAACTCAGGTCTGATGCAATGGGATTAAGGTTTTCAGTAATAAATAATACACCGTCAATGGAGTAAGTTTTATAAATGGCCAGTCATCAACTATAACAACTTTCTTTTGATTAATTAAATTTTCTCACAAGAGTCAAGATGTATAATTAAAATTTCAAAAAAAAAAAATAATAGGGGGTTCAAAACAACTAGGTATTTAATCCTTAACAGACAAAAATGCAAGAAACCTACACAAATGATTCAGAGAAGGGGAAAAACTAAACATTAGAAACTAATTTTAAACAAAAATGTGCATTTGTCATTTGCCATTTACAATGCTTATTAAAAAGCCTGGTACATACCCATTAAATTTATTGATTGCATCCATTATTCGATCACGCATGACATCAAAGCGCACATTTTCCACATTGGGTCTGTCTGGTATATGTTCAGAACTTAACCTCTGCCTTAGTTCTTCAATAACTTGATCCATTTTGCCCACAATTAGAGGTTTTAGAAGCTGCCAGTGGAACCTTTGGGGGGGGGGGGGGGGGGTGGTGGGGGGGGGGGCGGGGGGGGGAGAGAGAACAAGAAAAAACATTACTTAACCAAGAACATGGATACATATAACAGAACTAAGAGAAGTAGAAT